TTTTTTAAAGGGGACTTGTCGAGCTTTTCTCAAAACCGCTTCTTCCAATGTTGTTTTTTAGTTCTCATCTGCTTCTTTCACTGAACCTGATCAAAAACCTGATTGGAGATTTCGTTTGGAAATTGGAACAATTATATTTATTGTAATTTAATTCCAATAAAACAGCGGTCGTGGTCGGGTTTTCATCGTTCAGAATCCAGTGGTGGATTTATATAACACGTGAAGGCTGTTGTTTCTCGCGGCCCATCATTCATTCAAGCAAACATTGTAAATCAGTCCGCCAGTTGCGCTCCACAGTTCCCAGTTCATAAAGTTAACACGAGTTTATTTGTTGGAATGGAACAGTCGAGTTGCTCTAATGCGTTCGAATTGTTCGATAATAAACAAAACTCTCCAGCAAGCATGTTTATATACGCATATTGAAACGTGCATTTATATTTATATACGTATATTACGTACATATTCTGTTATAATCTAGTTTTCTTCGGAGAATTCCTCGCGTTTATGTGATTTAGTTTTATTTCCATTCCATTCAGAAGCCAGCAGCGACGATGTGTAAATAAAAAGAAACCAGAAGCGGAAATAATAAAACGCCCACAATAAAAAAAATATACCAGGAATGATAACTAACATTATCTATATATAAATATATATAAATTAATATAAAGGAATATAAATAATTAACGGACTCAATTTTATTCTGCGATATTGGCTCCACATAAATGAGCATTCCACAATGAAGTATATTGTTTGTATACGATCCGTGTGTATTTGTGTGAACGAAAAATCTGGTTCGGATCAAATAAATCTATAGATCTTGTTGTTTGTAAGGATGCTGCACGCCCCGCCCCATCCGTTGCACATGTGGTTACCAGATGCGAAACCTCCGAGAAAACCGAACCAATTGTCTCTGGAAATTGAGGATCAATCAGAGGAACAACTGGGTTTTAACTTAATATACGCACCCAACAAGATATATGCACTTCCATCTATATACTACATACGCATATACACACACATATATATATATATATGTAAGAGATTCTTAGTGTTGACGTGCGGCTCTTCATAACTTTGATCTCTCTGCACTTCATTGGTTCACTTTATTCTTTATCGTTTCCCTGATCCATTATAAACTCTGCATCACGTCTGTTCACAGTTGACGTCTGCTTCGACTTTATGTGTCTCACGTGTGTTTATAGACCATCTCTTTTTAATTTTACACAGACACACATTCTTTTCTTCTTTCTTTTCGAACCGAACACCCTGTACATACATTTCACTCTGTGCCACCGCCGCCGCCGCCACCACCTCTCCACCGTTCCCTCGCGCCCCGAAACGAAACCGAAACCAAACGCAAAAAGAACAAGAGTCCCGGCATTCTCTCGCTATAATTCAGAACAAGAAAAGTAGCAGCAATTCTTCTTCACCTTCTTGAATGAAAAGTTAAAAATATATGTATTTATAAAGCGGCTTGTACTTTCGGAAGAATGTAAACAGGAATTAAAAAAAAAGCGATGGAGCGGCGGCAGAAATTGATGTCTCCGTTGCGGAAAGTTGAATGAAAGATCAACTAAATTGTTAACGCAGCTTGTTGTTTAGTTGGTCGAGTAATTAACATACACCGGAAGTGATACATCATGTCGTAATAATGACCAACACCAGAATATCTGCTTTCGTGCTGCTTTTATTCCACTGCCAACCGCCGCTACTATCACTGTCTCCGGCAATCCTTTTCCAACGCTAATGCGGCTCCCTAAATAATATTTTGTCTTTCATCTAATAATATTAATTAATTAACACGTTGCGTAATCAAAGCACTCACGCATACACACCAACAACAGAAGGATGAGAAAAAAAACCTACATGTATATAACATATATATATAAATGTGTGCGTGTATATATAACATATATATATACATATATATATATATATTGCAGTGCTTGTGGAAGTTGCACTGAATGGAAGATAAAATTGGCTCGGTGCCGACATATATTTAGTTACAGTAGGCGGTTTGGCAACCTGCAAATACTTAAGAAAAAGACAGAGAGTGTAACAGATGGACAATTTTCAAATGTATCTGCGTAAAAACAAACAAAAAATAAATAACTCGATATTAAGAATATTTCCTTCGAGTCGACGGCGACGGCGACGACCACAAAGTTTATTAAGATGAGCAAATAATATAATGGTACGTTATTTTTGTTTGTCTTCTTGTTTGCAGCAACAGCAAAGCGTAAACGAGGCCCAGAAGCAGGAAGATCTTCAGAGACGACAGCAGGAACAAGTGCTGCACCATCAGCAGAAGCTGCAGGAGCTGCAGGGTCAGATCACAGCACAGTATGCGGCATCCGGCGCGATGGGACCGCAGAGTCTCATGTTCTTACCATTTTTGGAACAATTGCGCGGCATGCAGCCATCAGTCACAAAATCTGTTGTAAACAATCACGTAAGCACTTGTTTAATTCGAGTGGAGCATGTGTATCGAACTAAAAAGAATTATTTGCAGTTGCTTCCTCCGCAAGTCCCCAGTTGGATTTCAACAACAGCGCATCTAGCTCAGATGTCAGTGACCGCGGCGGCGGCGGCGGAGAAACAACACTCATCGCCTCCACGTCGCACTCCTTCGCCATCGCCAACACCAGCTGATCCCGATGCTCCTCTGAATCTGAGTAAACCGAAATCATCAAGCTCAGGATCGGCTGGCTCGAGTCCACACAACACTCCAGTCAGCATACAGAGCGAACAGCCAGTTGCTGCCACCGTACCAAAATTGCTTCCTGCAAATCTCATCATGCCAAGAACAGCATTTCTTCCGTACGCAGGATTACCGCCTCAATTCAGTCCCCTGCCAGCGAACAATGATCGGCTTAAGCATTCGAAAGATTCGATGTCGCAAGACAAGCAGCCTCACTTCCCTATGCATATGTACGGCATGCCGACACCGCCGCACCATTCAAAAAGGGACGAATTAACAGGAAAAGAGGAAGCCGATTTTATGGCCGCATGCAGTAAGTACCACAACGCAAAGAGAATATTATCGATGACTAACGATTGGCATTACAATGTTTCAGTTTGGGGAGGAACAGATTCAGCTTACAAGTTAAACGAAGAATCGAATGAGAAGGCCAAGATAGTGAGGCAACAACCGAAACGTGATAATGAGAACAAGCCGCACATAAAGAGACCCATGAATGCGTTCATGGTCTGGGCAAAAGATGAACGGCGAAAGATTTTGAAGGCGTGCCCGGATATGCACAATTCCAACATATCTAAGATACTTGGTGCGCGGTGGAAGGCAATGTCGAACGGTGAGAAGCAGCCGTACTACGAGGAACAGTCAAGATTGTCAAAACTTCACATGGAGAAGCATCCGGACTACAGGTACAGGCCAAGGCCGAAGCGCACCTGCATCGTCGATGGCAAGAAGATGAGGATCTCCGAATACAAAACATTGATGCGTCAGAGACGGCAGGAAATGAGGCAGCTTTGGTGTCGCGACGGCACAGAGATGAGCTTTCTGTCGAACAACTCAGATTTGACATCGCCAACAGCATCAGCGTCTGGACGTCCGACACTCTCTCCGCCTCTAGGCTTGATGAACGGTGCCGGACCCAGCACCGACAGTTACTACTACCCGCATGACAGTGTTTCCCCAGATGCTATAAATTTCTCGCATGAACATGCTTCCTCGACATATGATTCTAGTCCCAGACACGATGACGACTGAGCCTGGGTTAACAGGGAAGGAGCTTTCCCTAGGTATTAGAAAAATTTACTTCGAAAAATCATACTCGAATTTTTATCATGACAAGTATTTATATGCTGTTTATAATCAAAGCAAAGGGAAAAAAAGTGTTAAAATAGAAAGCTGTCTAAATTCAGTGTGCCATTTTTTTTTATTATTTTTTTTTTTTTTAATAAATGTGAACTTTTGATCTCTCGGAAAACAGAGGAACTTTTTATTAAATTTACTTTATAATAACTTTATATTGGTGTTGTAGTTGTATTGTTATGTAGATATAAATCAAGTTATTTATTATATTTTAGTTTCTAGATTTTCGTTATTATTTTTTTTAATTATTATTAATAATTTGTAAATGTATGTAAAATTATTTCTTACGTTATTTACGTTCTTGAATTGCATTAATTGCAGTAAATCGGCTAAATAAGTGAATTCAACAAAACAAACTACTCTTCTGTTCCCAGTGAAAAATACAAATGTGCAATGGTTATTATATTATTTGTTCTCAACTGTTGATGTTTTAATATTTTAATTAAGAGCCAGTACTTTAAGTTATATTTATTTTCGACACAATTACATCTATATGTTTTTTTTTCCGCGTATTTGTATAAAACTGTTAAGAATACGATACAATATACTTAGACGTAAACACTATTTATAATTATAATTGAGAGATGTATATAGTACCTAGTTGAAAACAACAAAATATATAGTTAGTGAGTTACATTAGTCTCTCGAAAAAAAAAATGCCATTCAGTTTACAATATATATGTAAATATTAAACAAACAAACAACAATAAAAGCATATACATTTTTTCGCATGCCCAACACTACAATACAATTTAATGAATGTATGTTTCACTGCATCTACTACTTATATGCAGTTATATCGATATCGTCAGTCATTTTTATTTAATAAAATTGTGATACCTGTAAATTTATAGGTAATCTTGTAGTTGAAAAAATTTTATGTAGTATTGTGTAGAGACACACACACAATATGAACTATAATGGTCAGATGCATATAGCATTTAAAATATTCCATAATGCATAATATATAGGGCTAGTGAATGTTTATAATACCACTATCAATGTAAATTAACTAAATATAAGTATTGTATATCATGTCATATATCAGAATACAAATGTTTAGGTCTAGGCTCACTGTTTATTGTGCCAAATTAAAACAAATAAATGCAAAAATTGTACAAATTTCTCATTGTCATTATTTATACACATTTATATTTTTTCAGGAATTATACATACATTAGAATGCACAACAATACCTCGCAAATACTATATAATACAGTTTGATATTTTCAAAACAAACTACATCTTATTTGAACATAATAAAAATAAATCAACAACACAACACAACACTAAAACACGGTTGTTTACTAAATTTCTTAAATGAGGGGTATAATCTATGGACATTACATTTACATTGAATTGTAAATATTTAGAGGAGGACCTCTAAATAAATAAATTGCTCCTCGGGCCTCTCAAGTGCTTAATCCACCAATGGTTTATATACTAGGTCTACTAGTATATTTGGTTACCAACATTTCGATATGATCAAATATTATTAAATAATTTAAACACGATTCGTAAATCATGAAAATCATTTTTTGTTAATCAGAAAATAATTTATAATTCTTTTGTTTTCTTATGAAAGAAAATTATTTGCAAGTTTTGCCAGCTCTTTTGGTGATTAAATCATAAATTCTAGAACAACTAAACATGACCATGATCCATAACTACATTATTTTCGTCAAGTTTTGTTTTTTTCCACAGATTTATCATTGGAATATATCTTATGCATAGATATGTATTGGAGGACGGCCTTTTGTATATGTTTTTTCCAATTTGGTTCACAATTAAATTCAAACTTGAGACCTTTATGTTAGAAATCCAGAAATTAATGGTAATTAGGTAGTTACATCATAGGCAACTTAATGTACATGTAAACTAATTTAAATTTAAATAATTTTAGCTTTATAATTTCAATATATATGATGTAAATTATTATTTAAATTAATGCTTTTATGAAACTTAATAACCTTATCAGCTAATAAACATATTATAATCTTAATTTAATATTAATTTATCAATAAATAAATTATTAATACTAGTATGGAGGAGGCGCCACTGATATTAATAAAGAAAATGTATTAAACTATTACTCAACAAATATGAAAAACTAAATAACAACCATAAAGTTTTTTTGTTGTTGTTGTATATATTGCTAATTATCATAAGCGGCAAATTATCAAAGATTTTTCGTAATTAATTACAAAACAATAAAAATTTAAATATTCGCCTTGTTTTGGCATAACCTAATTTTTCAACTTCTCAATGAAGGCCGTGACCAACGAGATCGAAAGTTATTTTGTTATATCCTTGTATAGTTTCAAGTTTAACTGATTGAGAACATCAATTATCTCTCGTTCAAGAATTCCTCAAGCGACACACCAATTAGTTGAACATCATAGCTTTGTTATTTCCAATTACAAATTCAGATTTTTTTTTCAACAAGTTGTAAATTCGCTTGAATGCGGTCGCATCACCAAATTCAGCATTAGCTTCTTCCAAGAAAAAAAAATAATTGCCGACGTTTCTGATGAAATTAACATACATCGACTACATACTTCGCATGTTTGCAATAATGATTTATCTCCTATAACGGAAAAGATTATTATATTGACGTGTGAATCCAACGAAATGTGTCCAATTTTTCATAGTGGAAACTGATAAATTTATACTGACTAAATAAAACTATTGGAATAATTACAAAATCGTTTCTTTTTACGATGAAACAGAAGTGGATTTTATACAAATGTTAGTAATAAAATCAATTGTAACCATGGCAACTATTAGTTAAACTAATTATGGGCAACCCATATATTAGTAATCCAATTTGGTAGACTTTTACGTCCAGAAATTGTACAGTCAGAAACTAACAACTATTCGACTTTTTTTACGCATGCTTTTAGGTAGTAGATACTAAATGTATCTCACGTACCATCTTTATCTATGACAACTCTTTAGACTCTTTATTCTTTCAAGCTCCATCGTCAATAGAAAAACATGTAACTCAAACTTAATTCAAACATTTCATACATATATACTTTTATTTAACTAAATAGATACAAACTTACAAATAGTTCTTACTCAAGGACTAAAATCTCATATTTTGAATAGTGCTAAATATGAATCATTTATTAACATTTATACATGTTTTTTTTATAGAAATCTTATTGTTAGTGCAATACAATAGGCAATTAAAAATATTTTAATAAATACAGTATTTTCCAGAAATATATGTTTGTTTTTTACGATATTGTATTGTATGCATTATTTATATATATATCTTATTTTAGTATACGGCAGGTCGTTTATTTTTTAATTAGTTTTCATTATTAATACATGCTTATATATTTTTTCACTTTTATTAGTAATAATACAAATTTGTATTATATATATATACATACATCTACATTTTTATTAACTGTAACTTAAAAATAATACAGGTTGTCCGATAACATGCGAAATGTGTATTCTTTCGGTGAAAACCAGTTATGCCATTCGGTGTGTGTTTTCTGTAAGATGGTGAAGCAGTGTTCGTTTAAGTCTACTTAATAAAATATAGATAAATAATGTAAGCATACGAAATACAATATTTTCGTAATTTAAGTGGACCGAGAGAAGAGACAAGTATGTTAGAATTATTTTCTCGCATGGTAGCAAACTGTATAAAATGAAAGCAACCAGACTCACCCGTAATACGTAACAATTTATTCGGTTCAGTTTCTTAGGGCAAAAAAATTTAAATAGCGACGCCCGCATTTGAATGCAATCGTAACGATTGTCAATATATCTAACTGATAATTCGTATTTTGAAAGAGATTTATCGATTTTCATGAATATTGAGACATGCCAATGTAATTTGTATTTGTGCTTGCAAATATAATTTGTAATTTGTTTATGTGTCAGTTGGGTAAAAGAAGAAAAAGAAAGAAAAGAAAAAAATGTAAATAGATATAAGAAAGTATTATTGCGGATGGAATTTTCTAAAAGATAAATGTAATTAATATAAATATGCAATTATAGGTTCCAGAGTAGAGGCCGTGGTTTCTACTCCTGGTGATGATGATGTTATACATTCCGTGCGATATAGTGAAATCTTGTAAGATTTTTTTGAGATGAACGTGCTCTTAAAGTTGAGTGAGTTTTTCGTCATTTGGTTCTTGGCAGAGTTACGTTGCGGACGTTTCTTGGCCACTGACCGTGGGTGTTCACTTTTACCTCCGCTCATTTTAAAGACTCCAAGCCCGCATCACATTATTATTATTACCAAGGTAAATATACTTTTGTCAGTGTTGTATAATGATGGTCTGCGTTGCGTAATTTAAGTAATTATTATCGGATTTATATATTAAAGTGTACGCAAAAATTTCGCTCTCGAATTCCTATCGCGAGTCGCACATTGTGTTCATTTCTTTTTTTTTATTTGCATTTGCTTTCGACATCTCTTAATAATACATTGCCGCAGTTTGAATTAACTGTATTTGTTTTAGAAATGATGTATTTATATGCTAAGTCGGTATGGTACAGCGAAATAAATGGGGCATTGGGTGAAAGTGAGGCTGATTGTATGATTGCAGAAAGAAAAAAAAGAGAATAAACACGCTATTTTACATGTATAAAGTGTTTACACATTCAATAATACAGTATTAAAAATTTCAATTATTGTTATTTCAATTTAATTGTTTGTTATTTGATTAGTTATATACAATTGTAAGCGAATACTCAACAAAATCTAAAATGAAAGAGTAATTTTATCCGTTCGATTCGTATTAGAAAATTCGATCTGCACGGTAACGTTAACGTTATTAAATGAATCTGTATCTAACAGATAGGTCAAGGCTCATATCCTCTGCTCCAGTGAAGAATAGATGCACATTCGCAAGTAATATCTATGAATTACATTCGTTTTTTTTTACTTCAATCTCTCAGTGGCGTAACAGGGAAAATTATCGAAATTTCGTTTAGATCAGATGCTCGGACATGCAACGGTATTGCGAAATTCCTCGTTCATGCAACGTCAATTATAATTATAGCGAAAGAACTTTTGTACCGACGAAACTACAAACAAAAAAAAAAACAAAACAATAAAAAAAAAAAACGATTAAACTTGTTCTATCACTAAAAGCTTTCAAATTTGAACATGACATTTAAGCAGAACGGTGTTACATCAATATAAAGCAGAATATGTTATAATTCTACGATACCAAAAAAAAAAATGGTAATTAAGAACGCGGACGCAAAACTCCTTTATTATTATTATGATGATTATTATTTATGATTCTCAAGGTTATTGACTCGGCGTTATGCTGCTATTATTAACGTACTTTTTTTTTGTTTCTTCTCTCTTTAAGGTTATTCAAAAAGTCATCGAACAGCGAGTGTTATTAAGATGTCTCACCTATGGACTATAGGCGGAAGTACAGTGTTCTTATGTTTAATACAATGTATAGTGTCGCTGGAAAATGGATTGGCGAGAACGCCACCAATGGGATGGTTGGCCTGGGAGCGTTTCCGATGCAACACTGACTGCAAAAATGATCCAGAAAATTGTATAAGGTAAACGCCGCATTTCATTAACTAATAATTGTCTATGCCTATCCTCAGTTTAGGATATGTAACTCACCAGAAAATTACAGTTATTATGGCTCAAATCGAATGGTGAACATTCAGTTTCGAAGTGTAGCTCTTTAGAAACTACGAAATTACTAAACACATGACATTATTAAATCCCGCGCTTCGCGTTTCTCTAATTACAGCTGCAATTAGTATTTTGGCATTTCCAGTGAGAAATTTCCATTTCTAACGTTTCTTTATTTATTTATTTTTTCTTTTAAATCTATACCGTTTTTCCGCTAGCATGCGATCCAATACTTAATCTGGATACCGTATAAGGAATTATGTAGATCTTTTAAATTACCGAAAAAAAAAAAGTAACCCAGATTTCCTTATACAGCGATATTCAAAATACCAGTTATTTGCATTACGAAATACGAACGGCAGGTCACGACGTTTCCTCCGATACTTAAATTAAAAACTCATCTTCGTCTCGATTTAATTATCATTTCCAATAACACACATGTGATATTTCTCTAATCTGAAGATATAATCTAAGATTGCACGTCTTAATGGAATCCGACGTTAACATCAAAATAAATATATAGCAGCCGCTCGCTTTCAGACCATTGAATAATCTGGTCGTTTGCTTAATTTAAACAATCTTCTCTCGTCATTTCGACATTTATTGCATTAATTTTCTTTAATATCCTTGGGATTCCTCTACACGTAATTTCAATTCTTCAATCATTTTTTTATTTTAAATTATAATTTTCACATAATTAATTTTCCTGTATTTTTTTTCTCTCTATCCATCTCGTTGTTCCAGCCGACGAACTTTGATATTTTGCAATTGTTTATAAAAGTCCATAAAAATATGAACGGTATGCAAATATCTATCAAATGATATAATAAAATAGGAGACGTTTTATTTAAAATTCTAAATCATGGTCACAACAGAATTCGGTGGTAACAATGCAAGCAAGCCAAATACTCGACTCTGGCGGCGGATATATGTAGAAAGGTAAACGGATATTAGCAAACGCTTGGAGCAAATTAGTTCTGAATTAGACTCAGCTCAGAAATGCACCGACAACACGAATTATTTCCTCGCGCAATCAAACTAGATCTTGGAAATACCAAACAACCAAAATGTAATTGGAAGATATCGTTTTGCTTCAAGGGATCGGTACACGTAATACGTATTAAAAATGTATATTATTGAACACAATAACGCTACTGTTTGAATACAATAGGTTATTATTCCAATATGTGTTTCGTTTAAAAAATTATTAATACATTATACAAAATGTTGGAAATTAATGAATATAACCAAAAAAAAAAAACGGATGCTGTCGCCAAATTATGCGCATTCTTTATAGATACATCAAATTTATTAATATATTACCATAAGAATAGCACAAACAGGAATTTAATACATAAACAACTTTATTATCTAAATGTAAAAAATAGTAACTAAGCATCATAAATAAATTATTTGTTAGTTTTCATAATTTTCATTTTTCAGCAGCAATAGTTTTTTTTTAAATTTAATGAACCAACAACTTTATTATATAACCTGCATTACGTACTAGATGAAGGTCTAAAATGTATTTTCTTTAGTTGATGAATGGGCATTTAAATTAATCTTCCACAAATTATGTATTATTGTGTAATATACCCATTGGTAATTAACAATTGAGGAAGACAAAGGAAAACTATGGACAATGCTATTTTATTCTCTATGGTATGATTTCGAAGATATTACGATATTTAACGACATACTTAATGTTTGCGTAAATATTGAATGCATTTAATTACAGAATAAATGATGAAATTGTACCAATTTTCATTATACTAAAATAAAACGATTATTAGTTACATCATATTTGTAGTAATTCAATTTCCTGACAGTACTTTCATATTTGTGTACGATTATCAAACAAATGTGGTATAGTTATCAAGATACAGTACAATTTTATGTACTTATGTACATATATAAGAGTTGTTAAATTTATTATAACCTTCAAAATTATATAATAATCAAATATTTTTTAAAAATAAATAAAAACAATCTACAATTATCTACATATTTACAGCATACGAATAAGAATGAATTATTCAAAAGTAAAAGTAATCACTTTCATTTAACACTGCATTTTATTTTTTTCAACGTTATGTTCATCGGTACGTGTAATGTTATTTAAATCTATATATTCTTACTATAATCTAAATCACATATATTCATTTTTCAATATGAATAATATTCAATTCATTTCTTAGAAATATATGTATATATATACATAGTATATAATTGTTTGATTATGATTGTTTTAATAATACGCTAAAATAGTTTCTTATCTGAATATCAATTAATTCATATAAAATATTTGGTTGCTGACAAAATATTATGTCTTTAGATTTATTTTTATATTGTGAATTCTTGTCTTTGCGAAGATCATGGTCAACGTGTGTGATGTTCTGAGTATTTAAATACGATGACTTACCTAAACGATGAACCATTGATATCAGTATACTGCTCAGAAACCGGAGATTATATTTCACTTTACATTACAGTTTATCTTGTAATATAACGAACTTATTTAGTTACAGTTTTGTTCGTAGATTTACTTAAATCTGCGAATAAGTCACTTTCTATTAAACGTGATCGTAGGAATTCTTGAGAATGTCGTTTTAATTATTGCTCATGCCTATAATTCTCAAAAGAAAATAACATACAAATTAAGCAATATTTGAGTTGTTACGTGGTTTTATAATTGCATTCGCGTGAAAATAATAAAATTCAATTTGTCGTTAACTTATTCTCCACGATTAAGGGATAAAACGAGTCGAGAAAGTTGTAGCTACCGTTCAATCAACTTTCTATGAAACAGTTCTGTTTCAACAGATAAATAAGTTCAAGCCTTATTCGAAGTTTCGCTGGTTCTTGCATTGAAACATGATTTCTTATTTCCTAACGTAAATTATTGTTATTATTATTATTATTCTTTGTTACAATTAAAGTGAGAGATTATTCCGAACGATGGCCGACTTGGTTGTGTCCGAGGGATACGCAGCAGCCGGTTACGAGTACATCAATGTGGATGACTGTTGGCTAGAAAAAGAACGAAGTCCTACTGGTCAATTGGTAGCGGATCGCGCAAGGTTTCCTAGAGGAATCAAATCACTATCAGACTACGTAAGTATTGCTGCAGGCGTTTAATTTAAATTGTACATTAAACAACATAAAAAATATATAGATTCATTCTAAAGGATTGAAATTCGGCATTTACGAAGATTATGGCAATTACACGTGCGCCGGATATCCCGGCGTACTAGGATATCTGCAAACGGACGCTGAAACATTCGCATCTTGGGACGTGGATTACGTAAAGTTGGATGGTTGTTATGCTCATCCGAGCGATATGGACCGAGGATATCCAGAGTTCGGGTTCAACCTGAATCAAACCGGAAAGGCTATGATCTACTCGTGCTCGTGGCCGGTGTATCAAATATACGCGGGAATGCAACCCAACTACAGTTCCATCATCCAACATTGTAATCTGTGGAGGAACTTCGACGATATCCAAGATTCATGGGCTAGCGTCGAAAGTATAATTGATTATTATGGTAATAATCAAGATCTTGTGGTGCCAAACGCCGGACCGGGACATTGGAATGACCCAGATATGGTGAGCATCTATCTGACCGTTCCATTTATTCAAATTGTGAAACCAATCATATAACTGTAATTCGTCGCAGTTTAAAATCTATATTATTCAATCTTCACGCGGAACGTTAATTACTTTTTTCTCTTTCAGTTAATCATAGGTAATTTCGGGTTGAGTTACGAACAAAGTAAAACGCAAATGGCAATTTGGGCGATCCTCGCCGCCCCGCTGCTGATGTCTGTGGATTTGCGCACCATCCGACCAGAGTATAAAGCGATTCTGCAAAATAAAAAAATCATTGCCGTCGATCAAGATCCCTTGGGCATTCAAGGCAGGCGAATCTACAAGGTAAACGTTTTATGCAATCCGTTTTGTCGGATTCCAAATGATTCGTTAATACGTACATAATAACGCATTAATTTGCAGCATAAGGGAATAGAAATTTGGTCGAGACCGATCACGCCGCTATTCCAAAACTATTTCTCCTATGCTATTGCATTTGTGAATAGAAGGACCGATGGAACCCCATCTGATGTCGCCGTAACATTGAAGGAATTAGGTTTGACTTCTCCGACCGGCTACAAAGTAATGGATTTGTACGAGGATGTTGACTACGGTGTCCTGACGCCCCAAACCAAAATTAAAGTGAAAGTGAACCCATCTGGTAAACAAATCTACATTCTAAATATATATATATACACACACGTATTCACATTTAACATTTTAATTTACAGGCGTTGTTATTTTGCGTGGTGACGTGCAACCGGATTACAACCGAAGACTTCCTTTCTACACCACGCAGAAAACCGTATACAATCCATTAAATCAAGTATTCAGAGTGAGGACGAATGGATTCTAGCTTGTAGACACACTGTGCGAAATAAAACAAAACATACGTACATACATCATTCTTAGTACATAGCACGTTTTATTTAAGTTAAATGATTACAATTCAGTTTTGGAAAATGTATTGTTATGGAATAAGTGTTGTTTGTTCATGTCTATTATAATAATATTTTTTTATTTTGTATAAAATCAATCTAAACTATATTTATATTTGTTACCATTAATCTCGATAGTGATTGTTAAACCTCTGACGTTCTTGACGTTTCTGAAACTTACAAGTGTTCCTTCTAATATCTCACCTGTAACATAGGAAATTTGCATTTTATACAACATCGTATAATATAATTAGCTTAATTAGATATGTATGTATTTTTTTTTTTTGTTGTAAATAAGATTTACCTTCTTTGACCTCGATCGGGGTTTTTAAATAAAATACAGTTTGTTTCCAATGGGTGCTCTTACAATGCGGGCCTGTGGAGAAAGAGACGGGATTTTCTAGCTCAAAAAATGTATCGAAGTATCCGGCAAGAGAAGTTATCGTCGATGTTTTCGTTATCTTCAATTTGAAATTAGCTGAAAAATTCGGCGTGTTCGTGTTGCACGTTTGCAAATCGATTTCTGTTAGAACGCTCGGCTCGGACACAACATTATCCATTGGCACAGTTTCAATATTAGCCTCGCTAATTATATCCGACTTCATACATGACATGTTGAATCCGTAAACGTCGTCCCAAAAATTGATCAGACCATTGTATCTTTCTGCAAATATTTAAATATATCATTATTAATTTAATAACATCCATCTGATGCAATTTACCTAAATCTGAGCAAGCAACCAAATTGATGTTACACCTATTGGGCAATATAAGTCCTCCAGGTTTTAGATGATTATCACGAGCGTATATGACCGTATCCAGCATTCCCTCAAACAGCAGGAAGTAACCCATCCATTCCGATATGATAATGTCGACTTTATTTTCAGGAAGCTCGACATTTTCTAATCTACCGTGAAGCAACGTGATTTTGTCGTCCAGTTTGTTTTCTCTAATTATGTCCATAGCCTTGAACAAAACCTCCGACATGTCAATTCCAATTACCTTTTTCGCCTCAGCCTTAGCGGCAAACATCGATAAGATGCTTGTACCACAACCAACGTCCAGAACCGTTTTGTCTTTGAAGGAATTAACATTCTTCAAAATAGCATCTCTGTAACTCTCGGTACGAACGGTGTCCTACAAACATTCAGTAAAAAAATAAATTTTATTTGTGAATAAATATATCTTACGCTTAGCATTTCGTGGTGTATGCCGTAATGAGAATACGAATTAAAATATTCACTGTCCAAAGAAACTGGCACATCTCCGACGCTGGAAGGCAATACGATTTCCGAATCTCCAGCTTCCACTATATTTCTAGTAACAGTTTTCATTGTGTCAATATCGTCCTTGGCATTCTGCAGCATCGAATCCTTTTGCCTCAACTAAAATTTTGGAATATATGAAATGGGTCTATATCGAAATCCCGACAACCATAATCCCGACTGTATCAAAATCCAGACAACCATAATCCCGACTATATCCGCTCTGGCATAATTTAAAAATGTTATTGTTGAAATTTTCGATATAGCCGAGATTTTGATATAGTCGGGATTATGGTTGATATGCTTGATTTCGATTGCCACCGATCTAGAATGACCATTAACACCAGGAACTGTTTTTCCATTCACACACGGTGAAGTGAGTTTATATTACTTGTATCAATCCGGGGTCCTTGGTCCATGCATATTTACCTGTATCGTCAAGTCTTGAATTTGTCGCTGCAAATCGGAATACGTGATGTTACTAATAGGAGTTTTTCCATCGATTGCATAATGCGGTGTAGATGGTGTACTTCCAAGATCATCAAAATCTGGAAGGAAAGTCTGGTACAGATTTTATTCATGGCATTTTAAATTATTGCAAAATCATATCCCCTTATTTAAATTGCAAAAAAAAATGTCATTGACCTTGTCATCTAATAAATGCAGATTGGAATGTAATAAATTACATCAGTTCCAAATGTCAGATTTAAAGAATCAACAAATAAATCATGCTAAAATTAATTAATTACTTTTGAAGAATGTCTTTGTAAATATAAACAATCTAGTAAAACATTAAAGAAGCAACTAACAAAAATAATTCTCACATATTCACAATTAAATACTTTTTAAAAGCAATGCTACAATGATTTTCTATATCTGCTTAGAGTAAAATGAATACATAAAACCTATACATAATTAAACATACCATACATTAACCAAGATTCCATATCACCAGATTTCAAATAGTCATCACTGGACCATAATGCAGTTTGAGACTGCAATAAACTATCAGCGGTAGGTTTACATTTCCTAATGTAATTGATCATTTTGATATACGAATAACAATCCATGTTATACTTGCTTTTCAGATACAGCAAATCAAAATTATGTTCCACCCGACAATGGTCCATAGCCACAGCTATAGTCAAAAACTGAGATGTGCAGAATAAGCAAGTTGTTTGTTCACCACTTATTTCCATTTCATCCCATCCATCAGAATCTTCATTCTCAATATCCATGTTTGGTTCCAATGCAACAACCGATTTTTCTGCAAATTTAAATTATTAGAATAATTGTAAATTAAAGAAAATTTGTGATATTACCGTTCTCCATATTTTCAAATTTAAAAACACGTGTAGATTATTATTGTATCCTTATAGGTTAGATCTCCAAATTTACTTCTAGCTGCGTTCGTTAACACTTGCAGAGGTTCATTATTTATTGAATATATGCAAGTTATTGATTTATGATTTGGATTCACCAATACACTGTCGATTCGTTTCCACTTTATTATTGTTAATTTTAAAATAAGAATACATAAAGTATCAACTATAAAATATTTAAAAACCTGGCAACCAAATTTACTACACAAAACAGAAAACAATCATAGCAGACTAAACAATGGATAGCCTTGATTCAACTATTCTGTCGAGCCTATGATTAATTCCTGAATTACTGACATGGGCTAAAAATTACTCAATTCGTATTAAGCATCATTCAATGAAATACTTTCATTTACAAATAAGATGTTTATGTTTATTTTATTATTTTATTTTTTTTTTCAATAAACAAACACAATAAAAATGATAAATAAAATAAATTTTACTTACGTTGGCGAACCTGGTGAATGTTTGTTTCCTGGAAACTTTATTACCTTTATGTTGCCATTCGCTAACAGTAAGTAACTAAAAGTAAAAGCAAAAATACATAATTTTTCGTTTTATACAAAGTTATTTCTTACTGTTTTGAATAAAATGCACGGTTCCTCAATTTGCTAAACTTTTTGGTACCGAAATTCTATTGGTAAGTATATTTGCTTCTCGTGTTATTTGTTTTCAAAAAATTCTAGTTATCGCAGCAATGTATTTTATGCCAAATAAACCTAGCCATTTACGTACTATATACATAAAACGAAGGTTTTTTTTTCATTTATCACACAAAAACGACTAATGTTTGCTTGTAACGTTTCAGCACAGCCAAAATGGGACAAACACTTTCTGAGCCAGAGACTGCGAAAGACACTGCATGTTGTCAAAATTCTGAGTATCGGGTAGGTTCGAGTTGCATGCAGGGATGGAGAATAAATATGGAAGATTCACATACCCATATTCTCTCTTTACCTGATGACCCAGGCACAGCATTCTTTGCTGTGTACGATGGTCATGGGGGAGCAAAGATTGCTGAATATGCTGGTAAAAATCTGCATAAGCTCATTACAAAGAGGTGTGAATACAAAGATGGTGATGTGGTAAAGGCAATGGAAATGGCATTTTTGGAAATCGATGATATTATGTTGATCGAAGAGTCTCTGAAAAATGAACAGGCTGGAAGCACAGCAGTTACCATGATTATTAAGGATAATACTGTGTTCTGTGCAAATGTCGGAGATTCCAGAGCAATTGCCAGTGTTAATGGAAAAGTGCAACCACTTTCATTTGACCACAAGCCAACAAATGAAAAAGAATATAACCGAATTACTGCTGCTGGTGGATGGGTAGAATATAATAGGGTTAATGGAAATCTTGCATTATCAAGGGCATTAGGAGATTTTACCTTTAAGAGGAATGAAAAGAAAAAACCAGAAGATCAAATAGTAACAGGTATTTACATAATTTGTTAGTCAGAAGTTTATCATTAAGCAATTAGATTATTGTTATTTGAACATTTGCTCACAGGAAGTGAGTGTGTTTAATGAGTCATCTATATTTTTAATTTATTTATATTCATTTTTAAAGCATAAAATAGTTATTATTATTATTTTAATGGTTCAACAATTATAATATGTGGTTAATTGGTTTGTTTTGCTTTTTTCTTTCTAATTTCAGCTTTTCCTGACGTCGAAGTCCATAAAATTAATGAAAATTGGGAATTCATTGTGTTAGCTTGCGATGGTATTTGGGATGTAATGAAGAACGAAGAGGTTGTTGCTTTTGTACGGGAAAACTTGGCCGCTGGGGTCGAGCCAGAAGATATATGCGAAAATCTGATGATGAAATGTTTGGCTCCAGATTGCCAGATGGCTGGACTGGGATGCGATAACATGACTGTTGTCATTGTTGGCCTTATGCACGGCAAAACCTTCGAAGAGTTATCTGCTAGATGTGCTGTACCAGCAGAAGTTGAAGAGAATGAAGACACAAATTGCATAGACCAAGTAAATGAATCAGAGGAGAACACGAGCGAGGATGAAGATCTACAGAATAAATAGCAGAAAGATATTTTAGAGTCATTGATTGATTTATTTTTATGTATATAATATATATTTATGTACATATAATTTCGTAATTGTTTCAACAACACTTTTCATATGTGCATCCAATTTTAAACATTGAGGTAAAAAAAAAAGAAAAAAAAACAAAAAAATATAGGAAATGGAATATACAAGTAATGTAGAAAATAAAACAAAATTGTAAATAAATCTGTTTAGAATGTGTAGAAGTATTTTATTTTGTAAGTAATTAAGAGAAAGGTTAATGTTTCGGCTAATGTTTGGAATCAATAAATTATTTTAAAAAGATTCATGCAGGTCCCATTTTATATTTACAATAATCTATACTTCTTTGCAGCATTTTAAAGCTTAAACTCGTATCATTGTCTTCTACAAATTGCTCACTGTTTTTTGATACTTCGAACTTGCTCCACTTGTAGTGTGCACATTTTCTTGAACCTGGTGAACACTGAATCAAGTTCAAAACTATTGGGTGTGTTAGTCCAAAAAAATCGTGGCCTCTGGGCCTTGTAGTTACTACATTTAACGAGAGTATATCATTAATCTTCTGCAAAAGCATGGAGTGGCAAACATCCGGTGTACCGCCTACTATAGGTTCACTGTTATCGTCGGAGGCGATTTCAAATCTTGGCAATCCATTTAAATCCGATATTTTACAAGTGTAAATACATTTTATTGTCGGATCTTGTAAGCTGCCATAAATTTTTGTGGACACATATCCCACCGGATAAATTGCATCTTCACAGTGAAATTCCTTTCTGTCCGCGACTATTTCTCCTAACGAATGAATTGTCAGGGAACCTAATTCAATAGGGAATATCGGTCGACCATTTGAATCAAGTGGAATCGGCTGCACCATTTTTTTCCTTTGTTTATAATTTGATTTTCGTGATTTCGTTGCAATTGGAAATTTTCTGCTCTCTGCAACATTAAATTAACATTAATTAGATATTACTGCAAGACACAACATAATAAAATCAATAATCAAGTAAACGTCTTGCTTACCTTTACCATTCATGTTAAATTTCTTTTTGGTTTTCTTGTTGCCATCCACAGGACTACCAGCTGTTGAATTGTACAAAGATTTAGATAATGTTTCAACCTCCACTTCCACTTGTGGTTCATATAAACATAGTTTCTTTAATAAATACTTCCGCTCTTCACTTCGTATAATAATAGTCTCCTGCACTTCATTAATTTCATCACAGAGAGATGCATTTTCCTGTAACATTAAAAATTATTAAATGTTGAATTCGTGAAATATATCTAAGTATACATACATGTACATATTCTCTTATTAATTGTTTAATTTTATGTAATTTCTTCATGTACTTGGAAGAAGTACTGTTCCCTTTAATGTTATTCATTGTGTAGAAATCCAGTTACAATGAAAGAATCAAAAATTGTTTAGATAATGCACACTTTTCAATATTATTTTTGTTGAAAATAATATAAATAAAAAACATCTGTGAAATATAATAACTATCTATACCCCACTGTACCCCACTGCTATAGCCAACTGTTACTATTGGTAATCCTGATATTTACAGTTTATGTTAGACTTGTTTTGAACGGAATTTTCGACTGTCAGTTAACATCAGTTAATTTTTAACCTCTCTTAATACACGTGTATAATAAATAATTACTTATATTATGGATTTGGAAGAGAACGAGTTGTCCGAGCCTAACAGCATAAATTTCATACCTTGCCTAAAATGGGTGAAAAAAGGTGTCGCAAAAGCAAATCCAGAGAAAGTACAATTGACCAAAGAAGAACTAATACAAGTTATAAAAGATGCAAAAAGCAAATTGAAGTAAGTTATATCTCTTTTTTATGTTGCATTCAATGAAGCATTTATTAACTGATTTTATTGCAGAACTACAGAAAATGCAGAAGGATCTGCTGAAGGCAGCAGTTCCATGAATGTAGAAAATGAGTTTGATTTGGAGAATTATGATGAAGATGATGATGGTAAGACAAAAAAAATATATTTTGTAATGCAATAGGTAAAATGATTGTGGTTTTATTTAGAAACATATGGATTAGAACAATTAGGAATACAGAATATAATGGAAGTACCTAATTTAGAAGAAAATCTGACTGATGATGATTCTGATAATGCAGATGATATTATTCAACCAGCTGATAACTTAATTTTAGTTGGAAAAGTGGAGGGAGATGCTAGTATATTAGAAGTATATGGTAAGATATACAAGTTATATTTCATTAATTTCTATTAACGTCAATTTGTATTTCAGTCTATAATGAAAATGAAGGGTCCCTGTACTGTCATCATGATTTATTCTTGCCCTCATTTCCACTGTGCATTGAATGGTTAGATTATGAGCCTGGAAATAATAAGGGCAATTACTGTGCCATCGGATCCATGTCTCCAGTTATTGATATATGGGATGTGGATGTTGTGAATTGCCTTGAACCAGCTTACCATCTGGGTCAAAAAGCAAGCAGAAAGAAAGGGAGAGAACATATTGGTCACACAGATGCAGTCCTTGATTTGTCTTGGAACCCATCTTATCATCATGTGTTAGCTAGTGCTTCAGTAGACCAAACTATTCTATTGTGGGATATTGATGAAGGAAAACCAAGTTCAAAAATAGAAGTTTTCCAGGAAAAAGTCCAGTGCATTAAATGGCATAAATTAGAAGCATACACGCTGTTAGCTGGTATATTTTATTAAAGACAATAGTCCTTGAATAATGTTTGTATTTTATTCTAGGTGGATGTGATAACACTGTCAGAGTTTTCGACTGCAGGAATCTAGAATCACACTTATCTTGGACAATTGATGGAGAAGCTGAAAGGATTTGTTGGAATCCTTTGGAACCGTACATGTTCTTTGTTGGTACAAGCAATGGTTCAGTGCAATGTATTGACTGCAGAAATGGTATAACTTGTTAATGTTAAAAACGAACGAAAATATGAATGATATTTGCATCATTAGGTCCCATGTGGTCAATGAAGGCCCACGAAAAAGAAGTAACTGGAATGTCTATCAGTGGTCAATGCCCGGGTTTATTGGTAACGGCATCTACTGATGGTATGTTTAAAGTGTGGGATTTCAAACAGGAAAATCAACCTGCATTGATCGAGGAAAGAAATTTGAAATTGGAGGGTGTACATTGTTTGGAACTGTGCCCTGATTCGCCTTTTGTTATTGCCGCTGGCGGCGATAATAAGATGAATAACTTTAAAGTATTGAATCTGACTTCAATTGAACAAGGTAACGAAGCAGTTGGTTGTCTGTTATTAATATTATATTAAATTATATATTTTTTAAACTTCTAGTTGAAGCCGCATTTGGATCCAGACCATTGATACAATTAGAAGTAGCTAATGACGAGTCTACTAATTAGATTTAATATACATTTTATTTTTAATAAAATATTTACGTTTATTACAAATATGTACTCAAGTTGTTTATTTATTTAAATTTGATACGAGTAGAGTGACGCATACGGAAATAATAACACAAATGTACGTAAATTAAAGAGAATCACGTCATATTGTGCAAATTATTTTAAATTTGATAATGAAGTAAAAAAAAAGATTTATATTTGTATACGTTATCTTAGTTGAAATGTGTACAATTGTAAACAAAACAATTATTTTGAAAACATTTATTACACGCAATTTTGATTGTCATCAAATCTATTTAACCTTCTGATTTTATTGTTTTATAGTCCTTTATTAGTTCCTGACATTCTAGATTGCACGAAACTTGTTACATAAGCGTTAAATATCTAATGGATGTTTATTAAAAAGAAAATTATTATCTCAATAATAGTAACATAGGTGATAATTAATTTCTGAAAAAAAGAAAATCATTGACGTAATATTATTTGCGTCATTAATATTTAGATAGAAATGTTTATTTTCATTTTTGCTGTATATCTTTTAAATTGGCAATGTTATTCTTAATGACGATAGTGAAGATTTAAATAATAATTTAATTGAACATAATTTACGAAAAAACCAATAGGAATAATATCAATAAATCATTTAATTTTCTTTTATTCAAAATTGTTTCTTACATAACATTTGACTACTTTGTACTTACAAAATACATCGATATATATATACATTCATAAATAACTATAAATCTAAATCAGAATTAAAATAATTCAATAAATATATGGAGCACTGGATTATCACCACTTTGCCTCGTGAGAATAAATAGATTGTGTTCGTAATCGAAAATCATTTCAGTTATGGAAAAATACTGGCGTGGTATTGAGGACCTGAAACATTTTACTCATTAATAAGAACGTGTATTAGGTATACAATTACTTACTTACCTTCGAATGACCGGAGAATGTTTTTATTTTGTTTTTATAGGTGCTCAAGAAGACTGGAGCTGGTACACCAAAATACGAAGGTTTCGTTGTATGCTCAATTCTACTCGTCTCCAAATTGTTTACTAAAAAAAAAACAAATTCATAAAATACAATTGCATTCAATTAGAATCAAATACATGATTCAAATAGAATTACTTACTTAGATGGGGCCAATCACTCAAGATCAACGAAACATTGCGCTTTTCCGATACGGATGTATTCTCGTTAGGTACATTTAAATAAGATGCATTGAAAGTATCCATCGGTAATGGTGTTACTACGTACACATTTTCCTTAGATGCCGCGTTAGGTGGAGCCAAACGAGGAGTTACTTGTGTACTCAAATACTGTGATTCAAAGAATGCGTTTTGTATGGAATTTATTTCAGTATTAATTTCATATAAAACTTCTTCTTTCGATGTCCTTACTTCCGGTGTTTCTGTACTTTCCTGAGAGATATTTTGTATATCGTATATAGTCGGTGTATTCAATAAATCCGCGCTTGTCTCTGTAGTAAAGGTATCTTCGTATGGCTTCAAATGATCAACATTTGTCGCTTCTTTGAGAACGACTGTATCCTTCTCTGTTTCCTTCCATTTCTGAAGTTTACTGTTATTTGTGATATATGGAATGATGATTTGTATTTTATTGGGTTTCCTTGGTGTTATAATCACTTTTTTGTCGTTCTCTGCTTGACTATTGGTTTCGTACTTTTTCGGCGCCATCAGTGCGCCTTTATGCATTAACAAGTCCTGTATGGAAAATGGAATTCGCAATTCCTCTTTCTTTTTCGGAGGTTCCTGCTTCCTATCTTCATTTACATTAAGGTCATTTACATTAGATTGGAAAGCGGTGTTAACGTTGGAAGCTGCGAAATGTTCGTCATCCTCATTGTCGTCCGCTGCGATGCTGCTGCTATTTGCAACATCCACGTCCAAAATAGGTGAGTAAATTGTGTTGATTGGATGCTCCACCGTGGCAAGGTAATCGATAACTGGCACGCTCTTAATTATTTCAACGTTCCTCGTTTGCACGCTGCTCGTTTCAACGTTGTAGAAACGCGTGGGCTGCGGTGAATTATCAAAGACGGTATTTTGAATGATATTAGGAGGTTCCATGTTCAATGGAAGCTGATAATTGAAGTTAACTTCCTGCGGTGGCGGCATAAGCTGGTTCAAATTCGTTAATTGCATTTTCTGGTAGTTCAGAGTTGCCCTAAATGGCGGGCCGTAATTGATGCGCGGTGGAAGTGCCTTACTAATGAATGCTCTGTACTTGACGAGATCAGGATGCTGCGGTTGTTGAAAAGCGATGTGCTGATTTAATTGGACATTGTTAATAATATTCGAACTCTGAGGGACGTAGTAATCTTGCTTAACGAAATGCTGCTGATTGTTCAACTTCACGTTATTGGTTGGCCTGGGCAGAAGGTAGTTGTTGTTGTTGTTGTTGCTGTAAAGAACTTGGCTACTGGGTGGCAACAAGTTCGGTTTTGGATACTCCAGTTTAGGGAAATACTGCCTCAAGTTCTTCATTCCGTATTCTTTGTTCTGTTGATCATAGAACTTTGGATGAACGTAAGCTATGACTTTATTTTTGTTGTGGTAAGACGTGATTGGTATCCAAGGGTTTTGATTGCAAGGAGTGCATAGCTGCTTCTGCGACACCGGATTTCCTGAATCGTATTGTCCATTATCAACATATTCCAAACAGTGTATCTGTGCAAATTCGCACAATAAAACACAAATCACCTGAAACAAATAATAATAAAGTTATTAAACATTTCGTAGGAGAATGTATATTACAAAAGGGAAATACTAGTACATCCGACGAAAGCCGCATTGCATTAGAATGTAATTCCTATACTTTTATTTCTCATACAGGCAATAATGTTCCTCGCCTCTTTTTGGTTTAGTAATTCCGTGCATCCTAGTCATTTTGAGCGAAAGTAGTCGAAAGTGGTTTTCTCACATTTGTAACAAAAAAAACGTATAGGCAAAAGCAATCATTCACATGCCATCATTCAATCCAAAATAGCTTTGTCGCCAGACGTAATAATACAAGACATGTGCGGGGGGCCGGAATTAGCTCTGCTCTGCTATTAGCATTCAAGGAATTACAGCGAAAGTACAATTTGCATTTCGCGCGCAGACAATAGTCTTTTGTGTCAGGTGGGTCCAAGCGATCGCAAATTGAATTAAAATCGTCTAGGTCTCGTGCAAAATACCGTACGACTGTTGAATGATGATGATAGGCGTGCGGTTATTTAAATAACGTTTCTATTTGTTAAATGACTTACCCAAATTTTAAACATCTCGCACTTTCTTTGACCAATCCGTAAACTTGTTATCTGAAAAAAGAAAAGTGTTAAAATGACACATCTATATTCACAACACGTTACTACAAATTCCTTATTTTCTTGAATTCATTAAATAATTTATACTTTGCTTTTAACCGCAAATATCTTATTATCAACATTCTTTATCGGTCCATGTCGTTAAAATAAAATATAGATTTATTTTCATTAATTAAGAAATATTAATTAGTTAATATTTATAGTAGATATTTTGAATATCTACGGTATAACTTATATAAAGAATCCAAGATTTTAAATATTGCATTAAAATAACACATAATAATGATATAACATAATTTGCTCAGACTTGCAAATGCACATGCACATTATGCAAAACTTACCTAGCTTATTTTGTAAAATTATTTTTAATTATATCCATATCTTTAAATGTTTATTAAGTGTAGTAAGGAATCAATGATAGACTATGTCTATTAGTAGTATCGATTGAATGTGGTTCTACTAAATAAAGATCTCTAATAAAATGTGATTTAGAAAAGATATCCTACATTATTAATTATTCTCGATTTCTCATCGTTAACGTGAAATTGACGTGAATAAATGGTTCAATAAATGAGTGGACAATAGACTTACCATGAATCCAATATTGAATTAACAGTTGAAATATAAAGAAACAAAGTTTCGCTCTTCACGTAAATCCGCACGCTCCTCTTCAATTTGTTATTCACTACTATTTAAAACTTGTACTGCGATCATCTGGTAGAAAGCTTTCTGTTTGCGTTGAAGTGAAATCTCGTGTGACCGTGTTATACTGTTTACCAATAACTGAAAACAGTAGACAATAACACTTTATAAAAGTAGCCCATTTCTCCCCGAAAAACTATTCAGGTAGGTGGAAACCCAATCCCACGTTACCTGGATGGTGGTAAAAAGAATTTTACATCCATTCAGATTTCATTAGGACGACTCTCCAACAAACGACGGCACCGGTTTTCGGAGTATTTCGAATTCTACGCGCACCATCATCGGTTCGTTCTTCGATTTTTCGGCATTCTTATCGTTTTAATTACTATATCGATTATACTCAGCAGAACACGATATTTCTTAGTTACAGCGTTAATTAAGAAATGCGAACATTGAATATTAGCGATATCCGATGGAATGTTTATTAAATTCGGTCTTACCTATTACGTATATTATGTTTAAGAATTCAATTAAATATATATAAATTATATATTGAATATAAATTTAATCATTTTAGGTACAATAATTACATTGTATAATTAGCCTAATAATTTTAATTTCAGTGTTAAAAAACATGTATAAAAAATAATCTGTTTTCGGCTATTGTCGTCTGCCAACCTGGATTTAAATAAATATATTATTTAGGTTAGGCTGTTTATGAAATAAATGATTTGTATCTTAACAACATTTTATAAAAATATCAAGATTAATTATAAATCTAGTGCTCTAATACATTTTCTTTATTTTCCAAACGCTATAAAAACTTGAAATGTTAATCAGCCGCCAGTAAATATGAAACTCATGTTGGTTTCTTTTCCAATGTACACAAAAAATATATAGATCGTCAATGAAACAACACGTTTTTATTTTACATTATTGGTTTATTTAATAATTACGACCTTATTTTTAAGACCCGTTTGGAATTTATCAAACCCAAAAATCTATAACGGTTGATTATTTAGTAATTTTCAATAACTACAACACATTAAAATATATTTATAAATTAAAATTTTCTTTAACATGTTGTTTTTCTTTTCTTAAATGTAAGTTTGCTTGTAAAATATTGTGGTAGTTTGTTAATCAGTTTTTTTTTTCCTGTTGTTTTCTACTGCGATAACCAATCGAAAAGGATTGTACTGTAATTATGTTTTAAAAATGTAGACGCGAAAACACGGGATATTCAAAATTATTTATGCAAAATTGTTTATGAAATGAAAGATTTTTACTTTCTTCGTTGAATAATAAAAGAAAAAAAAAATAAATGTCAATTTATGAATATATATATTCAAGAGAAATGCAATAAATAAGAAAGATGATAATAAATAATGAATCGTTCTAAGAATAGTTTCAATGCAGTCATGTAGTTTAACATTGATAATGCTGCGAATAAAAAAATAATCATTTTAAACTGAATCTTTCCTTGGAGCGAAGGACGAGACATTGAAGAATATTATATTAAAAGAATGGCTAATGTAATATGATTGTGAATTGCATAAAATAATTATTTACTAAAAACAACCAACAATTAAAATCTTTAAAATAAAATTCCGGAATTACCTACATAACCTATTAAGTAATATAATATTAAAGTTTTATATATTTATTTAAGAAAATTATGTATTAATAATAATTTGGTAGAGATTAGCATATTTATTAAGATTATTACATCGACATTGACACACTCAGTTTTTACTAAGAAAATGTTTATTTTTGTTTTTAAATTTAAATTTCTTAGAAAGTTGTAGCAATACGAACAGTTCTCATCGCGTATATTCAATTCGAATGAAGGCAAATAATGGAATAGGAAAAAGCAGGAAACTTGTCGACTGGATACGTTTTAAGGTAAATTGTGCATTGAATAACTATTTAATGTTTATAAGAAGAAAAAATAAAAACACATTAACGATGCGTCGCGAAAGTTATTATGGATGGAATATTTATATCTCAACTGTTTGGGATGGGTACTTTATAAATTCCTCTTAATAGTCGCTGCTTGTTAATACATTCTAAAGGAAAGTAACATCTTCCGACAAGCTGAACGAGAACAGCGACTATTTCCATGTAATAAAACGCGCATCAACTGATGAAGACGTGTACAAAAATAAGCGTACACTACATGCTTATTATTTTCCAATTAAATTAGGTGAGGTGTGAGAGAAATACAGTGCAGAAAATAAAACGTGTACAGTTGATTATGGATTCTATGCATATATACAAATTGCAGAAAATGTGAAAGTTTTTTTTTAAAAATTCCAAAAATGTTTTATTGGCAGTATTGTTGAATTTAAATTCGACGATTATCGATTAGAAAAGATGCGAAACTATTTTTATTACTATATATATATATATATA